AATATGTGATTTGGATAGTCATTATTTATGATAACGTCTTTAAATACATTGTATATGTATCTTTGTTTGGGAGGAGATAGGGGATGGACTCCATTTTAAATTAAGTTGGCCAGAGTGTCCAGGGTGAAAGTTCCGAAACCTTATATATGCATATTTGGGTGCTGATTCCCTCAGACGAGAATCCGTAAAATGGCAAGGAGTTATAAGTGTTTGGATAATGAATGTTATTGAATTGTGAATGAATGAGTTGTAGTCTCATTTGGAATTGTTTAGATAATAAGGAACTACACTTATGCATTGATTTGAAATGGATGAATGGAAATGGATTAAGATATGACTATCAATATTGAATGGTAATGGGGAGAATATAAGTTGGCCTTGAGTATTGGACTTTTATTTGACATTTATATCTTAGTTAAATTTCATATATTGTGTTAGTTTATCTCGACAGGGTTTTGGCTCACCCTACTTGGGAAACCATTTTCAGGTACAGGTGACATACTTCCTCTAAGGGCGTAGTTTGGGAGGACTTAGGAGTTGGAGGCTTTGTTTTGTTACTTTTGTGTTTAAATGTCAATTCAAGCCAAGGGCTTTACATGTATAGAGCTTAGGACTCTTTTGTTGTAATCAAGTGATATCTTGAAAAGATGTAAGCCCGTAGGGCGTTTATTTTGTTGTAATCAATTAGTGTTACATGCTGTAGTTTCAGAATGAACATTTATGAAAGTATAATGCATGTAATATCTCTTGTAATATAAACTCTGATGACTAAAAGTATAACATTTTCTATTATGTTTATGAATCTCTAGGGTTGGATTATCCTCTTTTTATTTGAGGGCGTTACATTGACACTCTAACGTGGCGGGTATAATGTGACACTAAAAAACTCTTTAGTGTGTTTTTTCCAAATATGACAATCCAATGCAAAGAACTAAATGGATTATAAGAAAAAAATATGAGATTATATAGATTACAAGTCCAAGATTTAGGACTTATTGGTCAATCTACCAAAACAAAATTATAAAAAAATATTTTAAAAAATTAATAAATACACAAGAATACAAAAATGTACTAATTTTTATTTTATATTTTTTTTTTGTATTTTTTAGCATTTGGTGAATTTTTTTTTATTTTTTTTTCCAAATATCATATTTTTTTTAAGTATATTTATGTTAGGTTTATTTATAAATTAAAAAAATTTCTTAAAATATTAAAAAAAATTCAGTAAAAATAATAAAAAAATGAAAAATAAAAATTTTATTTTTTTGAAAAGTAAATCTTGGAAAGTGAAACAAAATAAACGCCTCGTTTGGGAAGTTGACTATTTTAATAGACTATTTTAGTTTTTGACTATTGAATAAGCTAAAATTTTTGTATTTGAGAAGACTATTAGATTTTTGTTATAGTTAGATATGATGTTTGTGAAAGAAAAAATAAAATAATTATAAATTTGATGTGATATTTTATATTATTAACTATTTTAATTTTTTATATAAATTTAAAAATAATAAACAAATAAATAAAAACCTCACTTGCCATACAGGCCAATGTGTTTGCTTATTTGCTTTTGTTCGTTGGTGAAACGAGAAGAAACAGACAACAGCCCCAATTAGCGGTGGCCCCCACTTGCTTAGGTGGCAGTGAATGTGGCATTCAGTCATTCGTTGTCGTTTTGGTGCACTACACACTCAAACTGGACTGCACCCACTTTATCTGAACTCTATCTGGTTGGGGTCTCTACTCCAATCAGTTTTTTTTGTGTAAAATCTCTCTCAAAACCTTCTCTCTTTTTGATTAGGGTCTCCACTCCGTTTCAGGATCCTCTAGAGTATTAACCCTGAAGTGATCTCCTAAAGTGAGAGATCCAACAGTTGAAATTAAAACTAACTAAAATGATGTTGTTTTGGTTAGTAAGTTAAAATTAAAAAAACAAAAAATAAAAAAATAATAAGGTGTCGTTTGGTAACACTTCCGTTTTCAGTTTTCTGTTTATATTTACAAAAATTTTAAAAACTCAAATAAAAACTTATTTGGTAAAATTTTGGATTTATAAACCAGTGGTCTCAGTTTATAAATTTGGCAAAAAATGAAAACACAAAAAATGTGTTTCCGTTTTGAGTTTTTTTTTTTTTTTTACCTTTTTTTTTAACAGCAATTAGGGGCCAAGTTCTGGCTGACTTTGTGGCCGAGTTACCAGAATGAGGATGGGCACCTGACTCAGGGGTGTAGAGCCCTGAAAACGCACTTGGAAGACCTGGTCAGACAGGGTCACTTGAGGGACCTAGTAGATGAAGCCAGAACGAGGAAAGAGCATGCAAGGTTTCCCCCGGCACCCCTGCCACCACCACCGCCATAACCACTCATTTGCTACCACCTGCCACCGTCACCCACCCACAACCACCACCACTCGCCACCTAACCGCCACCACCACTCACCCGCCACCACCCGCTATCCGCCACCCACCTGCCACCACCACCACCACCCACCTGCTACCACCCACCACCTGCCACCGTCATCCACTCGCCCACCCACCACCACCACCCGCCACCTAAAATTTCCTTCCCCCCCCCCCCCACCCACCTGCCGCCACCACCACCACCACCACCCACTCGTTACCACCCGCCACCGTCACCCACCCACACACTATCACCTCCCACCCGCCACCACCCACTGTCGCCACTTTCCACCACCGTCTTCTGCCGCCACTTGCCATCACTTGCCATTTCTTACTCTTTTTTATATTTTTAAAATTTTTTAAACATTTTGTCAATTACCAAGCGTGTTTGTAGTTTATGTTTTTCTAAAAATAAACAAAAACCAGTTTATAAAATTTTTGTAAATATAAACTGAAAATGTAAACATTACCAAACACACCCTAAGCTTTTCAAAATTCCCTCTGCAGGTATAGCAGCAGCAAAAGGCGGGAAGAAGGAAAGAAAACAGAGTGTGAGAGAGAGGAGAAGAGAGAGAGTGGCCGCTCCTCCTTGCATCCCGTCGCTTCGCTGTCGCCATCGTCCTGCCGTCGCCGTCGACCTGCTCCAAACAAAACATAATAATTAAAAGAAAGAGCAATCTATTTCACAAGTTCAAAATGGTATTTTATTAAACATAAGAAAACACCATTCACATAGAATTTCTAAACAGAAAACCAAATGAGCTAGGTTGAGATTCTTGACATTCATCAACTATAAAATAGATTTGGGTGTTGCTCCTGAGATATTTATAAAATGCATAAGCTAGCAGTTTTTGTCAGAAATGTAATGCAAATAGATACCCCAATCAATCTACATGTTAATCTAAAATGTATAAAGTAATGTGGCTATAATCTGTAAAAATGTTTTTGGAATTGTTTAACTTACCTTCATGGCCGCCGAGGAGATGAGAGACAGTCTCTCTATTGCTTCATATTTGCAAAACATGTTCGTCATTTTGAACCAAAGCTGATTTATTTATTTTTTTCCTTTTTTTTTTCTTTCAACTTACTAACCGGCGCGACGCCGTTTTGGTTAGTTTTAATTTCCACCATTGGATCTCTCACTCTAGGAGATCACTGCAGGGTTAATACTCTAGAGGATCCTGATACCTCTACACCAATCAGTTTCCTTCATGTTTTTAATTTCATAACAAAGTACTTCTTTTGTCAATAATTATTAAATTAATTAACAGTTTTTAATAATATTAAAAATATATTTTAATTAATAATTGAAGTAAATTTATTATTATATAGGAGAACAACAATTACAAATTTCATTTTTTTTTAATTAGTTTTGTTCAATAAAAAATTCTTATAAAGGAGTATTTATTATTTTTTAAATTACATGAGACAATTTATATTTTAAGTATACCTTAAAATATATGTTTTTTATTTCTAATATAAAATTATGCACGCTCAGCGTGTGCACCTATCACTAATATTAGATAGATGAGCAATTTACGCATTATTTGATTGAGTTTTTAAACTTTATTTTTGAATTTATTTTCATAAAGAAATCAAAATATAATTAGCAAAAAAATGAAAAAATAAAGGTGTGAATTTTTTTTTAATATTTAGATTGTCAAACCCAATTTTGTATAAAAATAAAATAATTTTTTATTTTTGAATTAAAATAAATTTTTACAATTTTTAAAAATATTTTTTTAATATTTAGATTGTCAAACCCATTTTTGTACAAAAATAAATAAATAAATTCAAAACTCAACCAATCTAGTTGCTTAAAAGTTAAACCGCTTTTGTTCGTTGGTCAACGAGAAGAAACAACTGCCCCATTTAGGTGACAGTGAAATTGGTTCTGTAACAGTGTCACGTGACGTTTGCTAGGTATATATTGTGATTAATAGTGAAGGTAAAATTTATGATTTTGTATTAAATAATTAAAAAATACGAGGGATATAAAAATTTGTGATTGGTCTGAAATATAGTCACGTTACACTGTATAACAAATCAATAATTTTTCTATGTGGTCATGTGACGTTCCACATGTATTGTGATTGATAAAAAAAGTATGACTCACTATTTTGAATTAGATAATTGAGGAACATAAAGATACACAAAAAATTTATGATTAATTTGAGATATGATCCTGTAATGACACAGGATCAACTAATAGTTTTTTGAAAAATGTTAGTGCTCCACTAATTAGGTGGCAGTGGGTCCCGCCATTAATGATGTGATGTTTTGGTTTTGGAGTTGTATTTTTTTTTTTTTTTACTTTTTTAATGTATTAGTGCTATTAGTGGTGATATTTTTAGTGGAATGAATCATTGTTGTAATTTTTTTGTATGCAGAAAATTTATATTTTGTTACGTGATACACCAATCACAACTGTTAGGATACACGTAACGGTGCCAACGACGACCAATAACTTGTATTTGGTGCACTACAGTCTACATACAAACTGCTCTAACTAACTCTATTCATTTCTTGATCTTGTGTGTAAAACCTCTCTGAAAACCCTTCCTCTCTCTTCCCTCTGTATTCCCATTCTTGGAAAGAAGAAACAATGGCGAATCAAGAAAGAAATACAGAGTCCACCGATGATGCAATGTCATCGTCTTCGGACTACAATCTCTCTCTCCCCATGGACATCATCGTCGACATTCTCAATCGTCTCCCTGTCAAATCTCTCGTTCGATTCAGGTGTGTATGCAAAACCTTCCGCCACCTCATCTCTAACCCCACCTTCATCTCCTCCCACCTCCTCCACCACCGCACCCCCACCACCGCCGCCACCATTTTCACCTTCAAACACCGCACCACCACCTCCCTCTCTCTGTTACAATCACCCTCATCGTCTCAAAACCCTGTCAATCTGGTCCACCCTTGGTCCAACCACACTCGCAATCTACACCTAATCGGCTCCATCAATGGCCTCCTCTGTCTCTGTCTCCGTCTCTCGAACCATCCACTCTATTTCCATCGACGCATCATCCTTCTCCTCTGGAACCCCGCTACCAAACTTTTCAAATCTCTCCGCTCTCCCACCATCCAAATTCCTCCTACGTGTTTTCACCTCTCTCTTGGGTTCGGATTCGGATTCCATTCTTCTACTTCTTCCAGTGACTACAAGGTCGTCAGGATAGTTTCTTTCAATTTACGGGTCCGAGCCGAGGTCTACTCTGCAATTTCTAATTGTTGGAGAGAGATTCGTGGGATGGATTTGCACTTTTATATCCATAAATTGTCTTGTGAGGCGATTGTCAATGGAGCTCCCTATTGGTTGCTCGCAACTCCTTCAAATCATTGTTTTCGCTTCGCATGGTTTGATTTTCAAAATGAGGCTTTTGTCATGTTGCCGGGGCTCGATTTTTCTGGGTTCTACTTCGGGACTCTTGTCCACTGGAAACTAATGGATTGGAAAGATAATGCTGCTGTGGTTGTGTTGTGTCCTGGCAACCCATTTTTTGATGTGTGGATGATAGAGGATCGTTGTGGCGGTGAGAGCAATTGGTGTAAGAAATTTGTGATTGGACCGGTTTTGGGTGTTGAACAATTTTGGGTGTTGCAATGCACGAAGAATGGTGAGATTATAGTAGCAGAAGCAGGGGGAAGGGTATTCTTGTACAACCCCCGAAATGGAGACACTAAAGATATTCCAATCCATGGAGTTCAGTTCGAAGCTTTTCACTATGTAGAGAGTTTGGTTTCTATCGAAGGATTCAGACAACAAGAACTGAACAATCAGCACTGATGTTCTACAAAGGTCAATTCGTCACTCAATCAAATAAATAACTTGAGCATTTGTTTATTCTACTTACTGCAATGCATTTGGTTTATAGAAGGCTATTGCCCTTTACAGTTTACATAGCATTGGAAATTAGTTTTTTTTGTGCTTTTGGTAGCATATGAATGACAGATATAATTGTAATTGGTTTTCAATTTATCCTAATTTTGACTCTACCATTGATTGTGGTTTTGTTTGGTCTCTTTTTAATTTGTGAACATTTCTGTTCAACTGTTATAGTATTATTTGAGCTTGTTTCAGCAATGTGAGTCATGTGACTGTTGTCCAACATTCCTCCCAAAAATTATCCTGCATTATAGTTTTGAATTTGTTTTATTAATTTATTTTAATTCTTATTTTTGTATAGTAGTCTTGTGGATTTTACTAAAGGCAACCACTGTCAATTAAAGAAAACAACAGAGAAGTGTTGGCAGCGAACAATAGAACTATAAAGATGCTTTCTAATTTCATAAAAAGAAGTCCTAGATAAGACTAGAAGGCTCCATATTAACAAAATTATTTTAGACCTCAGATTTTTGGAATTTAATTTTTCCTTGACTTGATTGAACGTCAAATTTATAACGCAATTCTTTTCATCAGCAAATTTCATTGTCAGCGTTACATAATTATGTCTAAAATAGCATGGGAAGTTATTATTGGATTTGGAATTACAATTCATTCTGCCTTTATCTGCAGGTGACTCCTGATGTCCATTTTCATAAAGATTTGGAATTGAATAGCTTAGACAATATGCAGATTGTAATGGCTCTAGAAGAGGAGTTCAAGTTAGAAATTCCAGATAAAGAAGCTGATAAGATTGACTCCTGTTTTCTTGCAATTGAGTAAATCTATAACCATCCATTGGATAGTTAATATTAGCGAATTCCTATAATTGGGTGTTAGTGCAAAATTTTATCCCTGTTAAGGGATGGAATGGAAATAATTGGAGTTCTGTTTTTGTAGTTTGCAGGCTGCTTTGCAATGTTTGCTATGATTTTGCTTAACAAGATCTAATATTTCCTTCCTCTCAAATTCTCAATGAATTGGCACAATTGTCGATCTGTCTGCTTTCTGTTTTTGAGATGTTATTTCTGTTAACATGGTTTTTTTTTTTTTTTTTTTGAGTTCTTTTAGTTTTGTTGCATTTGATTTATTTTTGGGTAATTGTTGCGGGATCTACTCCTGTTAGACCTTTTGCCCTAGATGTGGGGTGACATCACTGTGTGGTTAGGTCTCTTGATGAGAAGAGAAAAGTGCAAAACCAGTTAGAGGAGCAAATGTGTTGGACGAATGGATTCTTTCTCTTTGTTTTTGGCCCACAATTACTATTTGTTCAAATATTTAAAATTGCTATAACATAGAATTCATCTATTATTGTAGTGCCAAACTTCCAGGATTTGCATATTTTATATCCATGTGGATGATTATTTTGTGTGAAGATAGGATGATGCCCTTTGATGCTATTTCATTCTTCTTGTACTCTATGCTATTTGAAATTAAATGTTTCTCTAGCTCAATCAAACAGTGGATATCGATTCCATTTCTCGTGTCTCTCTTTGATTTCGGAGCACATGTTGTAGCTATTAAATTCAGTGCATAGATTCATGGTTCCCACCTTCAATTCATCTTGTGCATTTTATGATTGGCATCGTTGGCTGGGGAGGGTTTGGTGCCGAAGCTGTTGGAGGTGAGCTGTAGGTGGGGGCGGTGGTTGGTGTTATGTACCGACAAATTAGGGTTAGAATTTTGTCCAAAAGAATAATTTAATTTAGGGATAAATTTGTAATAAATAAAAAAAAATTGAAAGATGGTTGGTGTAAATAGAATTACCCATGACAATCATAAAAAAAAAATTTGGATTTTTTCTTTGTATGGGTTTTACATAGTCTCCACATAAATATATGATTCAAATTTATTTGTGACATGACTACAAACTTGGCGTAAAATTTCAAAGGTTCTCCATTAGTTGGTGTTGGTGGCATCAAAATTGGAAAATATTTGAGATTCACAAAAAGTTCTCATAATTTGACCTACACTAAAGAAGTATGATAGGTGTTAATTTTTGATTAGTTACACGATCAATTATGTAAAGCTTACCTTCTTTGTTACATCATTGTGGGTGAAATTGTAGGTAAATTTCTAATCTGAAAATGTGAGTTTCTAGCATTACTCCATCAAAATTGGGTAAATTACATTGGTTACTTTTGAATTTAAAAAAAAATATATAACAAACTTTACAAATTGTATCAACTTTTAAAATTAAAATGGGTGGAGCTCATGCAAATTATATATACATATAAGGATAAATTAAGGCAAGGTATGTTTTTTTTTTAAGTAAAAAAGATGACAATATTATAGTAGTGATATACTGATGAAAATGATACAAGTTTTCTATGATTTAAAATCTTATAAACGTTTCAAGTGTGATTAAATTAAACTTATAGAAGTCAACGTATTTTTTTCCCAAATCTCAAAGAAAGTTAGTTAAATTACCTTATGGGTGTTTGGCATATATTTAGAAAAGTTAATTTTTTTAAAAAAAAACTTTTTCTCTTTAAATATCTTTATTTTTTTTTCAAAATTATACCGATGTTTTTTTTGTTTTTGTTTTTTTTTTTCATTTTAGGACTTGTTTAGACGAATCTAAAATATTCAAAAAAAAAAAAATCACTAGACACTAAATAATGCAATTATTTTTTTACTTTTTAAAAAAAAAATCCTTTATGGACTTTTTTCCAATTTTTTTAATACTTTTTTAATCCGTCTAATTAGATAAAATCCAAAAATTTAAATTTAATTTCTTTTTAAAAAAAAATCACTAAAAAATAAATAAATAAATAATCAATCCCAAACACCCTTCATTGAATGTCTGCTAGTGGTGCATTTCTTTCCACACTAATCTTTTTTGAGTCCCATTTTTCTCAGGAAGATAGTGGTTGGTGCCCGAGCTAGTTGAAAAACCCATCAATCCAATATTTGATTAATATGTAATCAATCCAACATATTTGAATTGGAAAAAAATTTTATATTCCTTATCCATGCAATAAGAGTATTTCTAATATACATGTTAAAATTTTGTATATTTGTATAATACAAAATCCTTTCTTGTGTACCAGCTTGGTATAGGCACCTCGGTATCCTTATAATTACCAGATACCCATAGAAAATCGTCATCGTTTAACTCTTTATCCTATGTGGTCTCTACCAATTTTGCTCGGCCTTTTCTAACATTGAGGTACTGTCAGAAACCTCCTTTATTCTTGCTAAGGGTATATTGATGAAATATCTCGGCAAGACCGAGGTTCAAACTGAGAATATGGTTTAGCGCGGCCACACCATTGATTATTTTGTTAGTGTTGTTGGATACTTAGGTTGGACACAACCTAGTTTACCTAAAAAACTCGCAGACTAGGGGCTGAACTGGGAAGCGGAGGTCGCCTTCTACTATGGATAAGACAGTAAAGGGGCAGGCATCCAATATACCCCAAGGTGTATCTCCTTTCTTGGCTAGCTCAAATTGAACGTCGTCAGGGATGCCAAACTCCCTGTGGAACTCGGCTATAACCCCAGGCAAACTGACCATAAATCGGTACTTGCTCATTTATCCTGATTTTATTTTGTTTACTAATTATAATTGATTGCTCGGTCGTTCTGAGCGGTTTCTATGTATGGTTGCTCGGTCTGCGAGTGTCACCAATTCCCAATGATGTGTGCCTGGTCGATCCTAGTTCAGTCTACATTATTACAAATCAAAGGAAAATGTTAGCACGACAGCAAGTGCGTGGCTGTAAAAATTTAGCTTGGCTTTCAATGTCGAGGCTTGTTTGTTTAGTCCTAAACATTTGGCATCTATCTCGGTCCGGTGTTCCTACAAGTTTCTAATGCGGTTCAAATCATTTAAGGGGACCACAAACATGTTTTTAACCCGGCTTGATCTTATTTCTGGATCAAAAGTCAAACTATTCCTCAGTTTTGTCTAGAATTTACACTGTTCATCCTAAATTCAAAGTTATGTACTGAAACTAGGAAGGGTGAGGGGCTCTAAGACCCTTTATGTATTCTGGTTTCGGTTTGCCTAATTTCTATAAACGTCTACCAGCTTCATCCCAAAGAAAGCATATTTACAAGGGTTAAACAGTCCCAAAATGGAGAAAATGAAGAACACGAAGAACAATGTAAGAAGATGTGTAAAAGTGTGAAGAACTAACTAGATTTATATGCCAAATCAAGATATAAATGGTCGAATCGTCAGTGTGATGTCCGATATGATGGAAAATACACCCTCGAATTTGAAGCGGCATGAGTGGTGATGACGACGACAGTAGGAGCTCAAGAGCTTTAAGGGTTTCGAAGAGTTTGGCTGAGGAAGATGAACAGTAGAGGAAAAGGGAGTGGGTTAGTATGTATTTACGAACAAGAGGCGAAGATGCGCCAATTTTCAAATTTTTGGAGAATGTGATGATGGCTAGAAGCCTGCATGGGTCCATTGGGGGAGCGCTACGTGGCATTGATATGACGGGTTGTCAGTATAGTTGATTGATGGATGACTAGACAATGGGCACAAGTCTCAAGGACTAGACAAATTCGATAGCTCGACCAGGAAAGATAATCCCAATGACACTTAACACGGATAGAATTAAGGGGAAATTAAGAGGGGGATTTATACTCAACATTTGGCCGAGCTAAACCAACACAGAGTTTGGTGTTGGGCCGAGCTATCTTTGGGCATCACGGTTATAAAAGCCATGTTAGGGCCGCAAGTTTGACCGGGTTAGGTGCAGTGTAGGGCGGACCCGGGGAACGGGCAGTGCACTATGGCCGCATTATATGGCCGAGATAATGGCCTGCGCACCCATAGTTGACCTGCCTAAGAGAATGCCACCAACGTGTTGATCGAGCGCAGCTCTGACTTGAAGGCAGGCATGGCTTAGCTCGACACTGTGATGTATAAAGTCTTACTCTGGTGCAACCCAAGTAATAGCACGGTTAGGTACTCCATGTGGACTAATGCAAAGGAATCCGCTCTAGGCATGCGTCAATACCATTCGGTGGTTTGGCCAATACTGTTTGGCAGTATTCATGTGTACACGTGTGAGGAATGGAAAGGGAAGTATAGCCACGCGTCCAGCAAAGGGCGACAGATATAGTGCACACACAATCTGGGGTTGCATGGCTAGCCTAAAAGAGGAGGCCCATGCAGACTCACAAGGGTAAGCAACTTTTAGCCACTTTCTCTCTATAGTGCTCTGTATTCTCTTTTCTTCTCCAAGAAAGCTAACTTGACCGTTGCAGGGGTTCTCTAGCAACCCACCCTCTGGGTAGCTCACCCTTGTTTGTTCGCAGTAAGACAGAGTCCTATCAAAACAAGAAGAGCTTGGGAGCAAGGAGTACGAAAGGCGACAAATATTTTCCCCCCATACAAGCCTCATTGAGAAGTTGGGAAATATTCTTTATTGTCTAATCTCTTGGCTCTTTACACAATGTTTTAATAATAGAAGAACAAATCACTTGCATTGCATGCACATGAAAAAATGACTCATTGATGATGTGAAAACAATTGTCAAGAACAATTGTCACTCGCCTGAAGAAAAATGTGGACTTTGTGCTTAATAGGTTTAGACAACTTTCTATTTGGATGATTATACAATAGCCTTGTTGAGAAGTTGGGTAATAATTAGCTAAGTACCTGAAGTTTCTTAGATCGAGGATCTTGGTAGAAAGAATGCTGAATGAGTTTAAATATAAGCATAAAAATGCTTTAGATGCAGCTAATAACAAAAGAAAATTTAGCAGGGGGGAAATAAATGAAATTCAACAACTGTAATTGTATATTTTTTTAATGGTTA